AAAGCCAGCGGATGTAACTGGGGTACCCTCCGGTCATCAGCTCCATGGCTGGGAAATTCCATTTGAATGGGAAGATTTGAGAAGATCATCCCAAAAAAATGGGGAATGGTCCAGCAATCCATATTCAAATGGGAAAAACATCCAGTAAATGGATCATCCATGTTTTTTCATGGGACATGTCCAATAAGTGACTCGACATTTTTTGGCCGGCACCAGCCGGGCGACTCACCTTGTTGATGAGCTCGATCTCTTCCCTTGCTCTTTGCAATTTGGGCAAGGCCTCGGCGTTTTTAAAAAGGCGGCGTGATGGGAGAAGTCACGAAGAATGCCAGATGCACAAAGTCGCAACCCCCTTTATCATCTTTATAGTACCCTCTGGTAATTTAACGTAGCTATGGAAAATCACCATTTTCAATGGGAAAATCCACTATAACTGGCCATTTTCAATAGCTATGTTAAATTACCAGAGGGTAACCCCCAGAAGAATCCAAAAGACAGAAAAGAAAGTAATCACTGACTATTCTAGTAGGATTTTCTTTTGATTTACTATCTTCGAATCTTTTTTTGGGGGTCGTAAAACACACTATGAGTCACCCTGCAGACAGTCTATCAAGGTCTTCGGGGATAGGTCCAAGAATGTTAGATGCGTACCTTACCCTCTGGTAATTTGTTACATAGCTATTGAAAATGGCCCAGTCGAAATAGAGAGTGTTCCCATTAAAAATGGTGATGTTCCATAGTTTTTTGTATGTTTACCAGAGGGTAGGTTTTACCAAGTTCAAGAATATTTATCTGGTCCGTTGCAGGAATGTAAACAAAAACAATCATCTAAGTGCAAGTAATTCTTCGCCAAGTTCCTTTTTTCTGCGCAATGGTTCCTTTGTTTTGTTGCTTGATGCCCTTGAATAATCCCATCCCTATATCCCTTTACAACATTTACCCCAATAGACATGATAGATCTCAAAATATCTATGACTGAAACCAATACTTCACTAATACTTCACTAGTCATACTAATCTTCATTGCAGTGCTTCGTGTGCGCCTCCTTTTCCCGTTCGATCTCCTTTTCTCTGAGCTGTTCCTCGCCAGGATATTTTTCCTCATTTCATCCCAGCTGGGTCTGTCACAGTGGAAGTCCAAACTGGAAATGGGTCAAAGATTAGATCATACAGATATTCATACTCAGATCTCATATCTATGTTAGAATACTCAAATAATATATAGATATATAGATATATATATATATATAACACTGACACAAGATTCTATAATACACTATAATAATAATACATATATATATATATATATTTCCCCTAAATATATACATACAATACACTAATACAATACACTAATATAGCATAGTAATATACATAAAGTTTCCCTGGAATGGCCAGATCGAAGTACCGGGAAGTACCGATCGTTCCCCTCTCCTGCTTCTCCGTGCGATCGTGGTCCAACTCTGAGATCTGAATCCTCGGTCGGCTCGGTCCAAAAAGTCTGGATCCGAATGGGGAAGATTGGTGGTATTCAACGGAATGGGGGCATGCATTATGTAGGTATTATATGGATGTTATATGGATATTATATGGATATTATATGGATATTATATGGATATGATATGCATATTATATGGATGTTATATGGATATTATATGCATATTATATGGATGTTATATGGATATTATATGCATATTATATGGATATTATATGTTTTTGTATTGTGAAAAACGTGATGGCACAAGTGCCCCCTATTTCCAGCCGGAGAAATCGTCAAGTCGCTGCAGCATCATCTCACGATCTTGTGCCACCTGCAGATCGGTTGCCGTCGCTGTCGAAAAGTCCAGTTAGCAATTTCCATGTTGAGATCAGCATGATATACCTGGTTTAACCATGGTTTATAGGTGATATATCTATAGTTTTCATGGGATTATAACCCATTTATCATGGATATCCCAACTGAGATTCCCCAAAATGATGGATTTACCATCTGGTTATGACTAACATAGCCATGGAAAATCCCTTATAAATGGAGGTTTTCATGGGAAAATCATCTATTTCTATGGGCCATTTTCCATGGCTATGTTAGTCATAACCAGAGGGTAACCATCATTAACCATCATCAACCATCATTAACTATCATTAACCATGTGGGATATGATGTTCTTCCTTACCATCATTTCTCCGGTCAGCCGGTGAGGGTCTTTGGATCATGGCCAACCTTTGATGCCCAAGAAACTTCTAACTTTCAGGTTAGTATGTATCCCATATAAATATACATCCCCATTGATGGACTTTTATGGCACCTTTCAGCACTCAACCAAGGTTGAACTCACCATGATCTAACCGGTGCAAGGCTCCCGCCTGGTATTCCTGCTCGATTTCGAACTTCTGATGCATCAGCTGTTCGATGGTGTTCTGGTCCTGTCGGCGGGCGGCGCAAGCGCGTCTTGTTTCTTCGGACGCCCTTCGGATGCCCTTCGGATCAAAACATCAGTGAAACGGGGCTGTTCCGGAAGACACCAATTGGGGCTGAAAAAGACATCTTGGCACTGCAAAGGGCGTCCGGAAGCATTGTGGGTCAACAAGTTTCCAAGCCATTCCAAGTTTGTTCCAATCTATAGTTACAGTATATATTGATAAATACCAGTAACTCCCAGTTAATATATATATATATGTATTATATTATTGGATGGTTCCTTGGTTCCTGTCATTTTTTCGTGGTAAATCCCACCTGTCCGGCCAAAACAAATAAGTGGATGATACAACAAGTCCCATGCCCATCAGCGGCAAAAAGGGTCTTAAAGTTTTGACCCATACTGATGCGGGTTACAACATATTATAAATAATTGATATATATATATATATATATTTTTTTTGGGGGGGTTAAAAGTGGTCACCTGCAGCACCCCATAGGCTGCAGCACGGATTTTTCTTGAGCCATCAGAAGTAGCGGAGCGTTTAGCCATGTACATGTCATCCTTAGTGCAGGGGCCATGCTTGTAAAAACGAAGCTCACCCTTCTACACCTTGGACCTTGGCATACCAGCAACTGTACATCCTAGAGGTTAGAGTGTTCCATGAATCACACTCCCCCTACCTCATTTTGAGGTACAGCTACCTAAAACAAACAACTTTTGGCGCAGCAGCACTAGGAAAAAGCTGCAAAAGCGCTCACCAGGTCTCCCCAGAGACCTCACTCCAGCTGCCGCCATCGCTCAGTTCCTCTTCGGCAGGAGGTAGGCCATCCCTACGCTGAAGATCAGCCAAAACCGGTTGAGCTCGTCGACCAGCTGAAGTCTGTGCTTTTGGCCTCACCGCAGGTGCTCTTGGTGTTGGGAGCGGAGCGTAGGACTTCGCCGTAGCCGCCCGGCTCACATCAACACGGTTCTCTTCCCCACCAGGTAGGTCAGGAAGAAGCCCAAGATGCCCCTCGGCTCCATCAGGCAACCTCAAAACTGCAGGCTGAAGCTCACCACGATCATGCGGTCCTCCAGCTCCGTCACGTTCAGGTAGGTGAAAACGATGCCCTTCTCCACGAGCATCATCACCAGAGCTCCGAGACACAGTGCGATCATGCACGGTCCCAGTTTCATTCTTGAGGCGGAAGAAGGTCCACCCAGTCCACCTTGAAGTAGCGGGGTTCACTGGCTCCACATCCCAGCGGTCCGTCTTGACAAAGCGGCGGTTGGTGTCCTCCTCGAAGCCCACAGTCACACGTAGAGGAAGAAGATCTCCACCTGCAACCGGAGAGGCACGGTGGATGGGCTGGAAAGTGCGTTTCCTTGGATCCCTGTGGACTCTAACAAGCCATCCACGTTGGATCCAGGAACTTTCCCATCTGTCCTTCTTCCCAGTCGGCGGAGGCGTCGAGAACTCAGGTAGTTCCCACGGTGCCATGGCCGCATCCACAGTGACTCGCATAGTCTTCATGCTGTAGGACCCACCATCAGGCGGAGGACGCTTGGTTCCCGAGCCATCATCCAGGTCCTTTCTCGCATGGATGTCATAGTCCTCATTTTCTTCCTCATCAGGTGGATGGTCTTCAGCTGGAGGCTCGCCTTCCGGTTCTCCAGCTCCATGCAAACCCTGAGAAGTCCATTTTCCCCAGGAATCATCCTCGTCATCCTCAGCGGCGCCCGGAGTCTTCCCCTGGCCTTTTCCTTTTCCCAAAGACTGCCGGCGATCTCCACTAGGAGCTGGTCGGTCGGTTGAAGATCCAAGGCCATCGCCACTGGCAGTTGAAGAACCCACGCTGCCTCGACTCGGTGGTAGCAGAGGTTCGGGAACGGGTTTTCCTTTTCCTTTGGGACCAGTTGGGTCGCTGTTCGCTTCTTCAGTCTCTTCACCAGAGCTGATGACCTCTGGCCCGTTCTTTCCTTTCCCTTTTCCTTCTGGCTCAGCAAGGGGACGGATCTCGATCAGACCGTCACCTCTGCGAATTTCCAGGTCACCATCCGCATTCACGAAGGATACCACGATCTTTTCGCCTCCCCAAAAGAAGCCTGACTCAATGTCGCGGCGACCATGACCACGGACAGTGTACGTGGTTCCATCTGGGTTCTCAAGCCCCTGAGAAGAGGCTGGCTGACTGCCCGTCGCAGTCGGAACCTCTTCGCCAGTAGGTTCGTTGTCTTGAGGAGGTAGAGGAGCTGGTAGCGGAGCAGCACTCGTCGCTGTCTTCGGAGTAGCCTGCATCAACGTCACAGGCCCTGGCTCCCCTGCGACTGTTTCCTCGGACTCCTCAAGCTTTCTGTTTTCCCAGCTCGGCCACTCATCTTCCTTCTCTTCTTCATCAAAGGCCTCTGCACTTGGGCCCTTCTCTTCACTTTGATCAGCCTTCGCGGCCTTGTTTTTCTTCTTTCTCTTCCTTTTCTTTTTCTCCCCGGTGTAGATGTCATCGTACATGGAGCTCTTCGGCCACGGCTTACGATCATCTCCACCATCACCAGGACCATCTCCACCCTCGCCACCAGCATCAGCAACGCTGGTCGCCATGGCTTCAGCACGGAGCGCCCGGACGCTGGGGCAGCCCGAAGGGCAGTAGTTCCTGAACCCGGCAACAGTCACACCGGAGTTGAAAACCTGTGCACCTTCGCCACTGAAGTCGTTTTCACAAGTGCCGTCAACTACGTTATCCCCAAAAATCGATTTCCCAAAATCAAATTCCCCAAAAGAGGTGGGACTTTGTGGTTTCAGGGTTTTCTTTATGCTGGGTTCATTTTCCCTCAGCAATTGGTGGTTTGGACCGGGTTCATTTTCCCTCGGCCATCTTGTTTCAGTAAGTTGGGTTCCTATGCCGGGTTCATTTTCCCTCGGCGTTCTTGACTTTCTTTTGAGACAACAAAGGTGAGACTTCCATCTTTGTACAACATGGCACACACCAGCTGCTACTGCACAGATCCCTAACCTCCTAATCCGGTGGTGCTCCTCAGTGGTCGGTTTCCACCTTTCAAGCTCTACAGCTACAGTCAGCCCCTTCAGAGCCCATTCTCTACAGATTCCAATCTTCTTCAAGGTCTCCAGGTCCTCCGGCTCAGCCATGTCGTAGAGCCCTGCAAACCTCCGGAATCTTGACCAAGTAGCCCCAACGGTGATTGGCTTCGTCAGGAAATCTGCCGCAAGTTCCACACCCGCCATGTGTTTCACCTTCCACACCTCCTGTTGTACCGCTTCGTGCAACGCCCTAGAGCGCAGCCTGAGATGTCTCGATCTCCACGGTCCATTTGGGTTAAGTACGACCTGGATTCCCGATTGAGAATCACCGTACAACACTCTGGTTCCCTTTTCTGTTAACCTTCCTTCCTCAAAAAGGTCAACCAAGACCGCCACCGAGTCTCCAAGGCTCATAGCGTCCACGTACGAAGTGACTTCAGACTCAGAGCTGCTCAGCGTAGCAAAACTCTGTCGCTTACTTTCCCACTGGATCAAACCACCTGCCCAGACAGCAAGGAGACCCTGGTGGGACCTCTCCCTTCCTGGACCGAAAGACGCATCCGAGTGGACTTCCAACGTATTGGCATCCCTGCAGAATGCCAAATTCCCATTCGGCCCACGGTCGGCCTCTTGACACTTTTGGTATAGCAGACCATGACCCACTGTGGCCTTTAAGTAGCCAAGCGTTTGCCTACCAAGTTGGCAAACCCTCTTCGGACATTTGGATGCTCGGGAACCCATCCAACTCACTGCATATGCCACGTCCGGCCGCGTCTTTGTGCTTACCCACAAAAGTTCGCCGACCAGAGTCTGCGCCCTTTTGACATCTGCAGGCTCCGGTGGTGAATCCTCGACATCCTCAGTCCTTGCAATTGGTACCAGCGCTTCTGGTACCTCCGGGTATCGATCCAACAGATCCTTGGTGTAGGATTCTTGGGAAAGGAGGATGCCGCCCCTCGGGTGCAGCTTCAACTCCATCCCACAGAATCTCAACATTCCCTTTTCTGAGAGGTACTCCGCTTCGGAGCAGTTCCACTCCTGGTTTATTCGGTTCAGACATCCCTTGATTACTTCGGTTGGTCCACAGACCAGGACATCATCGACATAGAAGGTACAAAAACCTTCTACCCGTTCATCCGAGTCCGCTCTTCCTGGCTCCTCGCTCGACACGAGTTGCCAGACATTTGGTTCGACCGTTTGACGCATCCAGAACGACCTACCGTTTGAGCTCCACTCAAATTTCTTGACCCTTTGGTCGCGGAAGCTACTCCAGTCGGCCGGACTGGTCTCCAGGCCGTACATCGCCTTTTGGATCACCCACCTCTCTTCCGGCGGACAGATCCCAGCCTGCACCAGCAGCTTCGGTGGGATGGTCATCATCAGGCACTCCTGCTCCCTTCGGCGTGGGGCAAGCAAGAACGCGCCCTTGATATCTAGGACTCCCATGTCCCACCCATCTATCATGGCGGTCTTTCTGACCATGCATCGAATGGCGGTGGCATCAGCTCCTCCAGCGTACAAGTCCGCTGCCGTCACTGGAGTCGCCTGAGTCTTGTTGCCATCCTCGTGAGCCTTCGTCACCAGGTTTCCACAGATCACAATCCGTGCCTTGCGTTTCCCATTTGGCGATTTAACTGTGGCAACCAACTTGCTTGGTGCTAGCTCCATGTCTTGATAGCCTTCCATGGCCTCCAACTCACTAAGCTTAACCGGTTTCACCGCCTGGCTTTCATACACAAGCTGGTTGTACTCGGCCTTAATTGGTTCAATCCAGGATTCCATATCCCGCTTTACCATCGTCAAGGGGATTGTGTAGGTTTGCAAGACCGTCGGGGGCCTGCTCACACCTTGGTTCTCATCCCCTGGTTGGCCATCCGTCGACAAAGCTGCGATTCGGGCATGTCTCTCACACTCTTCAGCTTCCAATGCCTCCACCTTGGCACCTTCTTCTTCGATCCGGGAATAATGCTCCAATTCACTTTCCAGCCATCTCACTTGGGTACTCACGTGTTGCACGACTTGTCCTTGCGCCGCACCTTCTTCTTCTGTTCCAGCGACTGCATTCACCTGTTCCTGCAGAAGTTTTCTCAGATTCCAGTGCTGGTAGCGGAGCTCATTCACATACTCCTCTACTTCCGTCTTTTCGATCTCCCCCCAACCTTCAAGTTGAGTTCCATCCACAAGAGACTCCCCCCCAGCTCGTAAGGCCATGAGAGCTGGCAATCCCAATTCTGCCTCAGGTGGAACCAACTCAGAGTCAGACAAGATAGAGGGCTCATACCCATCTTCTTCCTCAGCGTCGGCCACAGCCAACAAGGACTCAAGTTCACGGTCCTCCCGAGGAGGTGGTAAAGGGATCTTGGAAACCTCCACAACCAGTGGCTGCTTCCCGTTGAGACGTCTTTTGGGAGGATCCTTGGGATCATCGACCGTTTCCAGCTCCAAACGAGCTGTTTCTCCAAGAGGATCAGGAATGAACACGGACCGTGCGTGCTGCACAAGGTTGGCTTCTTCATCAAGAGCAACCCAACCGTTAGTCATCTGAGGTGAAGGGCCCATAATTCGAAGCGTCTTGTAAGGGGATGACAACGCCCCTTCTTTTCGACGATGCCACAGTTTGGCCTTAACCTGAGCCAACACAGCAAAGGGTGGCATCTCCTTACACTTGGCCCCCAACTTTCTCATTTGGGCACGCAATCGTTCCTCGACTCCGTGTCGGGCCGCGCATGGCCAGTAGTCATGACTCACTCCCGTTTCTGCCAACAAAAGGCGAAGTCGACGCTTGAATTGGTTGATTTCCCCTTCAATTCGTCCATTGGCTTCAGGCTCATCGCCTGCATTGAAAGTTTGATGGACCTGGCGCATTTCGCACCACTTGGCCACGTGATTGGTTGTGAAAGATCGCTCCCGATCAGAGTGCACACGGTAAATGGGTATGCCAAGGCTCTTCGCCCGGGCATGCACTTTGGACAGTGCCTTTGTAATTTCATTCTGGTGACGAGACGCAAGTGGCTCCATGAAGGTGATGTTCACCACTGGAACATCCTTGGATATCTCCTTGACTTCCTTTTTGACGAACTCTTCCCAAGCCTGGTTTCTCTTCCGGGCTTCTTCCTCTGGGATCAGATCCCTGGGCTCTGGATCCAAGAGAAGCTCCCCAGAGGCTTCCACTTCCTCAGCTTCGGGAACAACTTCTTCCTTTTGAGGTTCCACCGCCGCCGTGGAATCCTCCTTCTCCCCCGGACTTGGCCACTGAGGCACAGGGATAGTCGCCAGCAAGGCATACTTTACCTTTCTGCGTTTGGAGACACCAAGGTCGGTGCCCTTTTTGAACGGACCACAGATGTCTACAGACATCACAAAGGCGGATTCTTGACCCCTCTTTCGGCGATGTGGCTCAGCCGAGCCCATGGTTTCCAAGCAGACCTTACAGTCCCGCCGGTATGGCACGTGTTGTGCCTGCAGATGCTTCTTCCATCCCGCTAAGTCCAACTTGCTCAGCATCGGTTGCTGAGCCTGGCTCGCCAGAAATTTGGGTATCACAATCTTGAGAGCAGCCATCAGACCTGGAGCCCATGCAGACCAAGAAGCCGTCTGCTTCAGCCGCTCCCGGAGATCCATGCACACACTCTCTCCAGATTCCTTCGAGGTAATCCCATCAAGTTCCTTCAGCTGGACTATGTTGGTCAGAAGCGTTGTGGGTTTGGGGCGTGGGTGCTCTAGAGCCCCTTGATCCACCCTGACCTTGAACATGTCTGGGTTTCGTTTCAAGAAATCTTCTGTTTCCTCCCATTCCCAGAAGGACGGATACTCTTTCCCATCTTCCACATACTCGCATGGATCTTGGGGACTTTCCACCAGAAGACCACACTGACCCAGAATGCCATTCGCCACCATTCCCTCTTGAGATTTCTCATAGAGACCGAGAGTTTTCAACCACAGGGCGGTATCTCCATCCACCTTTGTCATTTCTCTTTCAGTTAGATCATCCAAAGCGAATCTGTGATTCCTTCTGCCACGCAAAGGGCGAGGACCTGGGATCTTATGCCTAAGACGACTCACTGTCCTGCATGGCGGTCCGGCGGTTATCATCCGGATCCGGCCCCTTTCAGCCAATCCCCACAGATACGCCCACACCCCAGCGGCGTGTAGATCTTCTTGAGCGTTCGATGAGATGTCAACGGTCAGCACCTCGGTGTCTGATCCCGTGAGATCCCGCCATCTCCTGGATTCTCCCCCGGACCCAGAGAAAAGATGGATCACCACACCACCTCGAGCTCTTTCCAACCTCCTCCGCTTTGCCCTATTCCAAGGCAAAGGGGAGGCAATTTCTTCCCAGTTCAGCCCTTGGCCCCTCATCAAAGACCAGATTCTCTCAGGGACCTGTGGATACTTCTCCTTCCACCATTCGATCTCCTGAGCCGGTGGCTCACAGTAGTCTCCCACTCCACCATTCTCAAGTGACTCCAAGAGACTCAAGGCTTCACTTCTGTCCATCACTGGACACCCTTGGCGTCTGACACACTGCAGGTTCCCATGTTTCGGGTGTGAGATGTCACAGCGATCCTTCTGCCAGTCGATCTTGAATCCGTGATCTACTAGCAGCCGCAATGGAATTATGGGTTCCACGTTATCCAGTGCCAACAGCGTATTGTGCGCTGCGCACCGATAGAGCGTGACACTTCCCATCGCCATTTCAACTTGGACTGGCCAAAGATGCGGAACTTCGGAGCTCTTCGCCTGTCGCAAAGCGTGAGTCGCCCCCCCATCTAGCAAGGCGTACTCTCCTCCGCACTCCTCGTCCATTTTCACCGTCTTGATGAATACCGATTTGATCGACGTCATGGACTTAACCAGACCGTTGAGGTTCTGCACCAAGTCACCTTCCTGCTTGGGCTGGGAACCCTCAGATCTTTTTTCCGGTTGCGGATTTTCCTCCGCTGCCTCCTTCACTACTGTTGACTCTTTTTGGCTCTCCTTCTCAGTGCTCTTCTCCCCTTTCTTATTGAGGACCTTAGCGACCTTCCGGTCACCTTTCTGTGTCCAGCCATTTCCATCTTTAGGCTTGGCTGTGGGACAATCCCTTTTACGGTGGCCTGTTGATGAGCAAAGCAAGCACCTTGAGGATTTCTCCAACGTTCCCCAGGCGTGTGCGAAACCGCACTTCTCACCCCTGCGACACCCTTCGTCAGTGCCCCAGAAACGACACGGCGCTTTCTCACCTTCTGGCCTCTCCCATGGCTTCTGCCCTTCCCCCGTGAAGGCCTTGACAGCCGGATTCCCCTGCGTCAGCACCGGAGCCAACGCAGGCGGATTCGACGGCGTCGCCTTCCCAGCAGTCTGCGCATTAGCCAACTCTTCCAGCTCAGCTTGGATGTACTCGGCCCATTCCTTGACCGAACCAAGGCTTGGAGCTCTATCTACGTCCAGCTGTTGGCGCATGGTCGCCAAGCGGAACGCCACCTGACTTCCACCCAATTTTGAAGCTCCGTCAGCGAACTTCGACAACACACCTGTCAGAACCAGAGGATCCACTGTTACACTCAGCTCCTCCGACCTTCCCACTGATCGGCGCCATTGCCGAACGGACCCCAGCAGTTCCACCAAACCTGCTGGCACCTTGGCCTCGCTGATGGACTTGATCAATCCTGTCCTTTCACCCGAACCACCAGGTTGAAAGGTGGTAAACAAACGGAACAGAATCCCGACCGTCGAGAGACGCCGCGATGCTATGACGTCCTGTCGCAAACCTTCTGGCAAAGCAGCTAGCAACATAGATACTGACCGCTGTTCCAGTCTTGCGTAGCCTTCACCGATCACTGGTGATCCTGGTTTCATGCGCAGCTTCTCCAGCGGCGTGGCAACCAGCCACTGCTGATAGTGGTGTTCCACAGTTTTCACTGTCAGACTCCACCATTCTCCAGCACTTCCAGAAAGAGCACTCATCAGTGGATGCACCACAGTCATCCAATCCCCGAACTGGATGGACGCACCTTCACTTCCCGGTGTGGGAAGCTTTGGTAGCTCCAGGGCCCTCAAAGCCTCAGTCAGAGATGGTCCCGGCTGAGCTAGCCCAGCTTGATTCCTTCCTTGGAATCCCGGATCAATCCCTGGAGGTGGGGACGGCATTCCACCGACTCCTCCCAACGGCTGAGAAGTTCCCAAGGCCTGGCCAACCACGGCCTGTCCCTGTCCAGCTCCACTGGATGCTGACTGGTACGATTGGGTTTCCTCGGTCTGACCTTGAAGCCTTCTCACCTCCTTGGCGAAAGCTTCCTCTGCCTCCCGCATCACCCGCTTTCTGATCTCCTCAACTGCCATCGCAGCTGGGTCCATCATCATCTGAGTCCCTCCCGATGGATCTGTTCCAACAGGAGCTGGGTTCCCCCCTCCAGCCAATGCCTGCATGGGAACCGGGCTCACCATTTGCATGGGAACCGGGCTCACCATGGGTACTGACTGCAGGTCTCGAGGTTCTCGGACTGGAGTCACCATCACTCCTAATCCCTGAGCTGGTTGGCTACCTGAAGGATGAAACACTGGCGGGTGTGGACTCGCGGCTGATCCCATCTGTTGCTGCTGCGGCAGCTGAAAAGCTACCAACGGCGGCAAAGGCTCAGCCAAAGGTCCCAACATAGCACCGCCCACATGCCCTCCACTCGGACAGCCACCACCTTGGTCATTGATCCCCTGACCACTGCGTTGATGTAGTTCAGCATGAAGACCTTGTAGAGGAAGGACACCAGGAGGACCACCTTGAGGTACACAAGAACGGACTTGAGCTCCAGGAAAAAGTGTCCCCAAAGCTTGCAGTTGGTTACCCCCCGCACCAGCCACATCTTGCGCCACACCCCGAAGAAGCGGTCCTACCACCATTGTCGATCTCCCACCACCAGGCAATTCCTGCTGAGCTGCCACCGGAGGAGCTTCAGGCCCTAAAGCTTGTGGCAAACCAGCAGGCCTCGCCACCTCACCTTCTCGACCTTGAGCTCGTCCATCTCCCTCTGCTCCAGCCTGAATTTCCAACCTCCGCACACCACCTTCCATCCTCCTAGGAGCAGACAGAGCTCTTCTTCTCTCTCCCTCCTCTTGAGTCTGGGCGATCATGCGGTCCAAGGCTTCATCGGCTGACTCACCACTCATCCCTCCACGTCGACGCTGCAGCAATGACATGGCCACGCAGCAGAGCGCCTCTTTGGGCTCGTAACCTTTGGGGGTTAAAAGTGGTCACCTGCAGCACCCCATAGGCTGCAGCACGGATTTTTCTTGAGCCATCAGAAGTAGCGGAGCGTTTAGCCATGTACATGTCATCCTTAGTGCAGGGGCCATGCTTGTAAAAACGAAGCTCACCCTTCTACACCTTGGACCTTGGCATACCAGCAACTGTACATCCTAGAGGTTAGAGTGTTCCATGAATCACATATATAATATAATTATATATATATATTTAATATAATGAATATATGAATCATAATTAATAATTATCACTCAGTAAATCAAAATAAACTCTGTCCCCATGTCCAATCAGCAAGGTGTGTGAACACACAACGGCGTAACGATGCATTGGGCCTCTTGGGACTCTAGAGTTGTCTTCTCCAACTTGATCTTTTCTTGCCTCGGCCGGGGCCAGGTCAGGCTGAGCCAGGGAGCCATCGAAAAGCCGGGAAGCTGATTGGTGATGGAGCCATCGAAAAATATGAATAATAGATACTAATAGTAGCCATTGGGGATCATAATTCATCAATATTCATCAATACTCATCAATATTCATCAATATTCATCAATATTCATCAATACTCATCAATACTCATCATCATTTCATATCGTTTCTATGGCAGGAAGTACTTCTAAGATCTTCTAAGTGGGCAGAAACATAGCTGGCCAGTGACAAATTGGAGCACAGACCTAGCGAGTCCAATCACTACAGCATCGCAGATAAACATCGCCCTTCGGGCTGCAGTCACTGCAGTCTGCGGGGCCCCAGGAAAACTGATCCATGCTCCATGGTGATCACGATTTGGGCTATGGCTCAAAATTGAGGTCAGAATCCTAGGGTTTACCGGCTACCAAAGTCAATTTGTGGGACAAACCCCGGCAAAACTTCACCAATTTGAGTAGCATCAAATAGAGACAATTTGGTGGTTTCCCGCACTTTCCGGAGCATCCTCTGGCGTCGTTGACCGTCTGGAGGTGGCTTTAAATGGACCCAGAATGATCCCAGAGTCCCCCGTATGGACGTTGCAAGCGGGGCACATCAAACGCTGATTGAGCTGTTTCGCTCGCGTCACGAAGTTCTGTTCATTCTCAAACCTGGGCAGCTGACGTCAGGAAAAAAAACAAACAGACTTGGATCATGCCGGCATTTGTTGGTTCCTGGCTTCAACTGTCCTGAAAAATACTAGCTACAGTACTTGGGATCCATGGCTTTTCGGGAAAAATTAGACAGATCCGTTCGCGGTTTGGCACTGTACTAATTTGATCTAATTTGTGTTTTACAAATACATAAAAATGATGACAAAACACCCAGGGTAAACGGTCTAAGTGCATCTAAAAGCACCCCACTGGTAACCCCATCCGGAAAAGTTCAGCGACAGCGAAGAAATCCTGGCCATCCGGGTCCAAGGAGCGTTTGGATCACCATCTCATGGAGCTTGGCATATTTGCTTTTGTACAAATCCATCTCAGCCTGGCTTTCGATAAATGTTTGCTGTCATATGGGGTCTGGCCACTTTCATGGGGCATAGTTTTTCTTTTAAAACATTAATACACATATATATATATATATGGTGCAGCGTTGGCCACCCCCCCTTCCCCCCCCCCACCAATGGGTATGGGTGGACAGTATCGTCTGGTTCTTCTGGCCCCCCCCTGTGGCCTGTGGTGGTGGTATGGTTCTTCTGGTCCCCCCCCCGCCCTGTGGCCTGTGGTGGTGGTATGGTTCTTCTGGTCCCCCTCCCCCTGTGGCCTGTGGTGGTGGTATATGGTTGGTCCCCCTGTGGCCTGTGGTGGTATGTGGTATGTTGTATGTTGGTATGTTGGTTATGTTGGTATGTTGTATGTTGTATGTATGTAGTATGTATGCTATGTATGTATGTATGTATGTATGTATGTATGTAGTATGTATGTATGTATGTAGGTATGTATGTATGTAGGTATGTATGTAGTATATGTATGTATGTATGGAATGTAAGGTAAGGTAATGTAAGGTAAGGTAAGGTAATGTAAGGTAAGGTATGTAATGGTATGTATGTATGTATGTACGTAGGTATGTTAGGTAGGTAGGTAGGTAGGTACGTAATGTATGTATGTATATACACCACCACAGGGGCATCATACCCCCCCCCATCCCATGGGGTGGGGGGGGGGGCGGGGGGGGGGGTGGGAACACGGGACACGGGACCATATATACATGTATACATAATACATGATCATGTATATGTATATATATATTATAATAATGAGTAATATTATAATATATTATATAATATATATTATCATATATTATCTATATATAAATATAAGTGATTGAAGCTGCAAACAACAAATGTCAAATGTCCTATGGTTTAACAAGGAACATCATGATTTGTTGCAGCGGATTGGTAACCTGTTTTTGGACCAACCTGTTTTAAGCTCCTAATATTTTGACCGGAATGATGATCGCTACACCAGCCGCTTTTTGGTCCCTTTTAGGAGATCCCGCACAATTTTTCTAAACGTCATTTGTGGTCAGTTCCATATACCCTCTGACAATTTTACAGTTTGCTGTTGAAAATGTCCCACTTATAGATGATCTGATCTACCTGTTAAATTGGTGATTTTCCATAGTTATATGCTGATGTTAAATTACTAGAAGGTAATTCACCCAAATTGTACTCACTAGGGCACTAAGGTGTCTTATATAGATGGAACTATAGTTCACTGACGGTTCACCTTCCTTTTTCTCAGCTGCGGTCATCGAAAAAAAAACGCGCCTTGCTGATAGAACTGTTCCTGCGTCGGTCGAAATGGCCTTAAGCCTCCAGTGAACCAATATTTTTCGATATAAACTCAACGACTAATGGGATCTTTAACTTTGACCATCAAGCATGGTGATTTTTCATGTGATATACCCTCATTTGTCATTTAACAATATGGTATACGTGCTTTTTTTGTAATGTATAGTAGATGGCCCATAGAAATTCATCGAACTAGCGATGAAAATTCTGATTTTCCACCATGTCTCGATCAACTCCCGAGGAAGACATAGGGGTTTTCCCATCGGGTTTTTCCATGCTGGAAACCATCTGTCCCCTGACCTGTTGGTACTTCATTCTTGGGTGAAAATCGCATTTGATGAACACACATGGGGGTGAAACCATGCTCCCAATCATATCTAGACACATGCACATACTAAATAGAATGATCGAACACCTAAAACACCCCATATTGTCTGAGAACATGCCCTCTATGTCTTCAACCCTGGGTCATATACCCAACATCCTAAACATTACCAACATTGGCCAATCATGTCATGGTCTATGTCAGCCCACATCAAGGATTTTATTGCATCAGATCCGTTTTAATCTCGATGAGCTCTCTAGAGCTTTCCAAGTTTAAGACTAGGTAGTACAGGGAACGCCAATCAATATGATCCATTCATACATATTAGCTGCAATATGTTACAGTAAAATAAAACCATAACATGCAAAACACCAACTGGACGCAACATCGCATCGACTTCCCGTAACTAGGACGCATATTTTTTGAAAATGCTTCGACTTCTGGGGTGTACATGTTTAACATATTCTAGAATTACTGACATCATTTGGTATATTTTGGTATTACACAACCATCAAGCACATTTTACGCACATTTTACTTTGGAGCCTTGCTCGACTCTGCCAATCCCTTCACACGCAGCGCCTATACAGTTCATCGAGGATGTTGTATGCCGCGCTCCTCTCCAAGTCCTCAACACGATCAAGAGTATAAAGAAAATAAAGAAAATAACTCCTTACAGTATTTTGAAAGAATGACGAACAGTTAAGGCCGTCAAGTAGGGCCGTCAAATAGTACAGAAAGGTCTCTCCTACACTCATATATAATCATATCTATATAGGTATATATATATATATGCGTATATTATATATATATATAATTATATATGTAATTATATATATATATAATCATATATATATAATTATATATATAGCTTATGACCAGAGTTACCCAAGCAGCTACGATACGTGGGATGATCCTCCAAGTATCCTACCCCCATCCAGCCACGAGGGCTTTACCCAGAGTTCTCTTGTTTAAATCCCGATTTAATTTTAGATAGTTGAGGGTTCAGAACAGCATTCACTTTGCAGTTTACCCACTTTTCTTGCTGCTCCCTCTCCTTTTTCATCATCAGGCATTTGAACAACGATTGCTCAGAGCCCAGGAGGCAAAAGTTCTACTATCCAATTATCATCAACAATCATCGAATATAATTTGATGGCTCAAACCCTCTGAGCTGAATTTGGAACTCCAGCATATTGACAAAGCAAAATTCCTGACAGCTTAAACTACAAACTCTTCAGCTGATCTTGGACTGCCGAGCTGTCACCGCCGTGATCTGGAAGGCCCCAGGCAACAACAGAGCCATCTTCCAAGATGGCAGCAAATGCAAACCGGTTGGCCTGAACCTGCGGCACACTCTTCAGTTGATCGTGGACTGCAGAGCAGTCACCGCCAGTCTCTGGATTGCCCCAGGTGACAACAGAGCCATCTTCCAAGATGGCAGCAAATGCAAACAGGTTGGCCTGAACCTGCCGCACACTCTTCAGTTGATCGTGGACTGCAGAGCTGTCACCGCCAGCCTTTGGATTGCCCCAGGTGACAACAGAGCCATCTTCCAAGATGGCAGCAAATGCTTGACTGCTCGCCTGAACCTGCAGCACACTCTTCAGCTGATCATGGACTGCAGAGCTGTCACTGCCAGATTCTGGATCGCCCCAGGTGACAACAGAGCCATCTTCCAAGATGGCAGCAAATGCTTGACTGCTCGCCTGAACCTGCCGCACACTCTTCAGCTGATCGTGGACTGCAGAGCTGTCACCGCCAGAACCTGGATTGCCCCAGGAGACAACAGAGCCATCTTCCAAGATGGCAGCAAATGCTTGACTGCTCGCCTGAACCTGCCGCACACTCTTC